CCTATACACACAAGACAACTATTTTATAATGCATATATTCCACCATATATAGACTATTGTAGTTCAGTTTGGGGAAATTTATTACAAAAAGATTCAGATAGAATCATAAAACTTCAAAAAAGAGTAGCAAGAATTATACTTGAATGCGATATTTCTGTTCCATCTAATTTTATGTTTTCATCTTTAAAATGGCTATCTTTTACAAAAAGAATAAAATACCAACAATCAATTCTAATGTATAAAATTGTAAATGGACTAACACCTGATTACTTAGCAATGCTAAATTTTAATGATGTGCAACACCACAACTTACGATCTGTCTCTAATAATGATCTATTTGTTCCAAGACCAAATACAAATTTTTATAAAAAATCTTTTTTTTTATTCTGCAACAAAGGTATGGAATAATTTACCACTCAAAATAAAAAAATGTCGTAATGTGGAATTATTTAAGAAACATTGTTATAATCACTTTCTTGAAAATTCTATGCAAGTCGAATAATTTGTTTTCTTTCTTTTGTTGTAAGAATTAGAAAATTTAATCAAAACTTTACCAATTATTGCCATTTATTGCCATTTGTATGTTTGAATGATTAAATTGTGTATATACTAGTAATATATATTGTATTTTAATGTATGAATGTATGAATGTTAACTGTATACATGTATTTTGTTTGAGGGCCTCAATGAAAATTAGACTACTTCTAATTGAGTTACCCTCTTTAAATAAAGAATTTATTATTATTATTATTATTATTATTATATCGGTACTTTGTGTCTATTGTTTTGTGTGGTTGTTTGTTTGTGCTTCGTACCGACATTTTGAGTTAAGCCATTTGCTACTGATCATACATTCTTATGTTGTTTTACAACACAACTGTCCTAGGTTACGGGAGGGTTGAGTACTCACAAACATGTTTAACCTCGCCACATTCTTTATGTGCATATCCTAAATCATGAGCCTATTATTTAGTGGATGCTGTTGGTTCATGTTGTCATATTTGTTTTTTCGTAAGGTCGTTTTATTCGTCGTTTGAATTGTTTAAAATTTTTCATGTCGTGGCTCTATAGCTGACTAGTGCTTTATGGGGTTTTCTCATTTTAACAGGCCGTACGGTGACCTATAATTGCTTTCATCTTCGTCATTTGAACTTTGGTGAATAGTTGTCTCACTGGCAATCATACCATATCGGCCTTTTTTAGCTCACCTGGCCTCAAAGGCCAAGTGAGCTTTTCTCATCACTTGGCGTCCGTCGTCCGTCGTCGTCGTCGTCGTCGTTAACATTTACAAAAATCTTCTCCTCTGAAACTACTAAGCCAAATTAAATCAAACTTGGCGACAATCATCATTGGGGTATCTAGTTTAAAAAAAGTGTCAGATGATCTCGCCTGACAACCAAGATGGCCGACATGGCTAAAAATAGAACATTGGTCAAAAAGTTTTGTCTATTATTTTGAAAACCGTTATAAATGGAGAAAATCAGACACAAGCAAAAACTTCAGAATGTTGAGCTCTACTAATTGTCCATATACGCCAAAACTGTCAGACGACTTCTAATAGGAGTCATTTCCCTTAAATGACAAATTTTACCTTTTTTTCATTTTTGCCTAGTATCTTGAAAACTATAATAGATAGAGAGAAACTTTAAACTGCAAAAATGATTAGCAAGACAAGTTCAACAAATAAATCTCATGGTCGAAATCGTCAGTCGACTCCTTATTAGAGTTATTGCCTTTTTCTTTGATGAGGACTTCTACCATTGTTTTGCGTTTTTGCCTTATATCTTTAAAATCATAATAGATAGAAACTTAAGTAAGCAAAAATAATCAGAAAGACAAGATCTACAATTAAGACAATTGGAGAAAATCGTTCGACGACTCCTTATTGTAGTTATTGCCCTTCAATGACGATTTTTACAATTTTTGTTACGTTTGTTATTCTTATATGATAAAAATTATAATAGATAAATAGCTACTTTAAATCACAAAAATGATCAACAAGGCAATTCTACTAACAAGTCAAAGTTTGCCGATATAGTTAGTAGACTGTCACTCTTTATAGGAGTGATTGCTCTTAAATGAGGATTTTCTTTACCCTCTTTTGTGTTTTGAGCAAAAACTAAAGAATATAGAGAGACTAAAATTAATGATCAGCAGTACAATTTCAAACAAACCAGAGATTTTTGTCATGAATTCTATTCTTGTCTACAATGTTGGAGAGTGACCTTTGTTAAATATGCACATAGACCAAGGTGAGCGACGCAGGCTCTTTAGAACCTCTAGTTTATATTTATAAGCGACGAAGTTAACACCTCATGATAAATCTGAAATAATATGGACCAAAATAGATTTAGGGGCAGCAGGTCACTTTACATATCATCAGTTTACAGTCCTAAAACATCAAATGAACAAAGCTTTAAGTGCATTGTTTGACACATCGAATAAGACTTATCACCGGGATTGTACTTTCATGAACAACACGACGGGTGCCACATGTGGAGCAAGTTTTGCTTTCCATTCGGGAGCACCTGAAATCACCCGAGGTTTCTTGTGGGGTTCGTATTGCTCAATCTTTATTTTTCTATGTTGTGGCTGGTGTACTGTGTACAGTGGCGGATCCAGAAATTTTTATAAAAGGGAGGGGGGGGGGGGGGGGGGGCACTGACTGTCTTAAGAGAGGACCCGCTCCAGTCATGGTTCAGTGATTCCCTATATAATCAACCAAATGTTCCCAAAAAGGGGGGAGGCGGGCACCCTGCCCCCTCCCCCCAATCCGCATCTGGTGTATTGTTGTTAGCCTTTTCGTCGTTGTTCGTTTTTTTACATGGCATTGTCAGTTTGTTTTCGACTTATGATGTTGATTATGCCTTTGGTATTCATCTTCCGCCTCTCTTTTAGAAGAACTACAAAGAAAAAAATGGAACATCGTTTATTAGAGGAGATTTTTTATCTTCCTGGGTTGGATATGAATATCTTTTGATTAAAATCAAAATGTACTTACCAAAATATACACTTATAATTTTGGAAATAATTTGGATGATACTGGCATGGTACAATAAGTAATACAGACAACAAGGAAGAATAATATATTAAACCTCATAAACTACTATCAAAAAACTTATCATTAGTTTTTTTAATAAAACATATGAAAACAGTGGAATTAACCATTTTTGGAGTGTAAAAAATTCTTTTCGGATGTTTTAGATAAATAACGTGCTTTTGATGGACCTTTTGATTTGGTTGACAGTTTTGAATTTTTCACTCTTAATTCTACACTTCCAAATAATCTTATCAAACGAAAGTTTTCCTATCTAATTAAATGGTCGTTTGATAAATCTGGTTGCAAATCTATTTGCTGCAACTCCTATAAAGCCTTTTTCTCTAATGAGAAAGGTAAATATGCTAGATATACTTACTTGAGGTTTGATGATATGATGAAAGCACTAAATTTTCTCCTCGACAAATTTATGTACGTTTCGGCAATGAAGTTTATCGACAGGTTGTAGGTATTCATATGGGCACCAATTGTGACCCTTTAATAGCAGACTTTTTCCTTTACTGTTATGAATCACATTTTATGGCCAAACTCAGTAAAGAACCGTCTAAATTCCATTTAATTGATAAATTCAACAACACTTACCGTTATCTTGATGATAATTTTTCGTTGAATTGGAAAAAAAAAAACCGACTTGGGACAGGCACATAAAGAATTTGGCGGGGTTAAACATGTTTGCGAGCGCTCCACCCTCCCCTTAGTAACCTGGAACAGTGGTGTAACAGTACAACATAAGAACAAACTATAAAAATCAGTTGAAAAAGGCTTAACTCATCAGATAGATACAAATAGAAATACATCTAACAAAAACAAAGAGTGGACGTGGACGGTTACTTATACATTGTACATCCCCTACAACAAAAGACACTCAGTACAGATCAGAGAGTACCCGCAGTTACTGACAGCTAGTTCAAAACCAATAACAACTAATAAAAATAAATCATGTATCTAAGACTAAAATGTCAATCAGTACACATCCATCATCTAATGGATTCAGCGTAAAGACGTCATTAACAGTCAGAGAAAACATGACCTTGTGCAATGTCAAACTATAGGTATCGACAGATTATAGTACCGTGAAAGTACATATGTGTAATATCTAGTCTGGTTTAAATTTACTGATAACAAAATCAATATTTATACCAATAAAAAATAATATTCAAAGATTCAATTACAGTGTTGAATAGGGAACCTTTTAAAATAAGTTTACTTAAAGGATCGATAAGTTTACCCGGATCGTATCTAAATTTCCGGGTTCGGTAAACAGCATCTCTGTAAAAATTAGGATGTACTATCCCGTTTAGAGTAAGTATTCTACAGGTACAATCAAACTTCCAAATCAAATCTTTGTATTCAATGTTTTCAATAATTTTGCGAATGCTGCCCTTGATAGAACTGAAGAATACAACTACTACTATATAAATGTAAACAAAACATACTGTCGACGTGATGGATGAACATGAAAGAGGCTCAAATGAGTAATTTATATCCGCCTTTTTCTCTCTCTCCCGTGTTGTTGGCTACAAATTTAGATACGTCCAAAGAAAGCAGAATGGACAAGGTAGTTAATATATCCCTAGTTTTAGCTCTTTATTAACGAACATAATATTATGTTCATAATATGCGGGTAGTACAGATATTAGCTCTTTAAATATAAAGCCCTTTCGATCCCCCGGTATATCAATCACAAGTTCACAACCATGAAAGTGTATGCACATTTGGATTCAATTCCCACAACTCTCATTTGAAACACGTCTGTGTCATATTTTAGAACCGTTGTTATCCAACTGACAATATTTAGTAGCAAAAAAAAAAAACAAAAAAAAAAACACAACAAAACAAAACAGATAGATTGTATAAACATTTAGATACATAGAAAATGATATTTAAGATGTGCCAAACTTGCAATACAGACATTTTTATATCACTTTCTGAATTAAAAGGGGACAAAGGTACATCACGGGTTTTAGGGCTCTGAAATAAAAACGTTAAATCTTATCTAGCCCTGCTTGATTGCTGATTTTAACATGTTATTTTCACCATTACTATATGTGTATGCAATGCAACTTGTCATAAGGCCAACATTAAAAATGTCGTAATACAATTTAATTATCAGCTAGGTGAAATAAATAGAAGTCAATAGGTATAACTACAAAAACAATATCAATACATGAATGATAATACATAACATAAATATAAAAGCCAATTTTTGGCAAATATCCGCCAAGCCTGCAAGGCCGTCATTTTTGTATTCTAAAGATACACAGTTACTCATAACAATTAAATAAAACAAGACACTTAAAACCCTTTTTTTCTTTCTTCAAAATAAGCTCAATCCTTTCAAAATGCATACTGATAATAAAAGGAAAACAGGAGACCCACCCAGAATGTATGTAGATCCTGAGTTCCCTGAAAAGAGAAAAAAGAATAATTATAATAAACAATAGATGATGAAGCAAATAAAAATATATAAATAATTTCATTTCAAATTATACACCCTGATGTTAAGTAATATTGATAGTCTTTTTTTTCTGAAAAGTTCTGTACCAGCAAAATTTAAATGAGGTCCGTCTCTCGCAGCAAAAGGAGAAGAATCCGGATATTGTCTTGTAAAAAACTGAGTTACAATATAATATACTAATCCTTTTACACAATCTTAAGGTACTGAAAAATAGTCGCCCTCTTTTCTAAGAAAATCCCTTTAATAATTATAGGAATGCATCATAAATATGTGCCGCCATCTTTTTAGCTACCGAAATCTTATCGTCAGATGAAAATTTTAAATATCTCTTGTATGCATCGCTTTTCCAATCCCCATATAATTGAATTAATTCAGTCAGTACTTCAGCTGCAAAAGCCCAACTTGCACCCTATCGCCTAACACTGTGTGTAGAATATGAAAAAGCATCTAAACCAATCCCAGTAATTAACTGTTTCAATATAATCTGAAATTATCTATAAGTATCAGAAGTACTAACTAATGACTTCATATTCATAAATGCGTGAACGGGACACAATGGAGAACCTGATATAGATACTAGAGGTATCAATAATTCTCCCTCGCCAAACTGAATGGTTTTCAACCACCTAATACTTATCACTAATAGCTTACTCTCAAAATCAATAAGGATATTATTTCTGCAAAGATGCTTATTATGAACAAAAATAAAAACAAATCTGGAACCAGATTAGATTTTCTGAACCTAAGTAAAAGGCATGTAAAAATAAACACCATATAGAAGCATCATGCGAACTATTTATATCCATTTTATTGTAAATTTCAAGCAAACTCTGAGGAGTAATCGACAAGGCCTGATTTAGACAATGTGCCTTTATTCCGCATAAATCTCCCAATTTATATTTCAAATGAATATCTTCAAATTGTTGATGTTCTAGATTGAGAAGTAAATGCAAAAATTTGACTAAACTTATATATTATTCTTGGTAGAATCAACAGATTTAAAACTCCTGCTAAGAAACTGTACACATAATATCAAAACCTGAACTGTAGCTGGAACAGGATTAAATTCAAAATATATACAAAACATAAAATATGGCTCTAACTGAGTTTTTTTTATTTTTATGAGTACTCTCCGCAAAAGCATGTTTAGCAGAATTTTTACATTGAAACCACAAAACTTTTAACTCTAGTACCTCTTCATTTCTATCCATTTCAAATGATGATTCAAATAAATCTCTGTATTTATGATTAAAGTGCAATCGAGACATATAATCAGCAAATCTATTTTCTTCACATAAAATTTGTCCGACTCGAAACTCAAACTGAAAACTTGCTTAGTACAAAACAAAGCTCTATCAAACAAGCCTAGATAAATGTATCCTTAGATGAACCTGAATTAATGCCAATAGCCAATAGCTCCAAATCCTTCTAAACAAGCATCACTTGAAAAATTTTATCTGGAGAAGACCAATCGTCAAGACAAAAAAGAATTACTTTGTGATGTAAATGTAGACACATTGAGTCATAAGATTAATAAGGTTCGCGTATTTGCTTAGGATAAACTGAATGATAATAAATTTTAAAATACTATTGTCTCATTGGCACTCATACCACATCTTCTTATATTTATTGATACATATAGTCAAATTTTAAATCAGGATATCCAAATTATTTAGGTTGTAGAATTCCAGTAAAATCTTGAATAAATGTAGACTTTTACAGGAAAAAAATTGTTAGATTATGACAATAAAATCGTTTGCGAGTTTTTACAGTTTGGTGCTCCGATTGGATTTCAGGGAGAAATGTTAGACGATCGTTTATCTAAGGTTACTCATCATAGGGGGCTACAGATTTTCATAATGAAATGTTGGCTAACTTATAAGAGGAAGCTTCATATGGGGCTTCAATTGGACCGATTGACAAAAATCCTTTTTCATGTCATTTCAATATTTCACCGTTAAATTCTGTGTATAAAAAACTCGATGGAACAAATTGTCATTTTAGACTAAGTTTTAGACCTTAGACTTTAGACCTGGAAGATCCGTAAACTATTTTATCTCAAAGGATTTTTACTTAGGTAAAAAGTACAATTGTCGTATCCAAAAGTTGATGATTCAGTCGGAATCATTAATGACAAATGTGGTAAGTGTCTGGTTTTTAAGAAGGATTTGAAAAGGGCTTGCATACAAATCTTTATTTATCCAATTGATTTTCATTTTGTTGGTTTTCAGTGAGATAATAAGCTCTTTGTAGACCGTGTTTTTTCTATTGGTTTACGGTTCAGTGCGTTGATTTGCCAAAGAATCACTACAGCTTTAGTTTAAAGTTTTATACGATGTGAAATATGGTTAATTATTATTTGATGGCTTTGGTGGAGTAGATACGGTTGATAAACTGACAAAGCTTATTTAAAATTCAGGAATGCATCTCCCTCATGCATTTTTAGCTCTGATTCCTTGCCCGGCTTTGGTGTTACTTTTTTGTCCTTTTGGTTTATATCTCTTCATCTTTTTAATAAGCTTTGGATTTTCAAATATTTTGGCCTCGAGCATCACTGAAGAGACATTGATTGTCGAAATGCGCATCTGGTGCAGAAAAATTGGTACCGTTTATGTTATTATAATGTTTTATGTGCATTGCTAGAAGAGCCCAAACAGAAAGGAGTACCTCCTTCTACTAGGATGGAATTTTCAGGTATCACAGTTGATACAATGAAGTTTATTTTGGAAATATCTCCAGACCATGTTCAAGAGATTTCGTTGTTATTTCAGGCTTGGTTAAGAAAGAAAAATGCTTCCTTAAGAGAGTTACAGTCATAACTTGGTAAACTTCATTGTGTGTCAATTTGTGTACGGCCCTGTAGAATATTTGTTAGTCGTTTGTTAAACTTTCCTTGGAGTTCGGTATCGTATCGTTTTCGTAGTGCATTCAATGCAATGCGGTCTCTAAAAACACCGCAAAGGACCTCCTTTGTGCACAAAGAAGCACAATGTAGCACAAAGGACCACAAAGGAGTTTGATAAGAGCACAAAGGATTTTCAATTGTGTATATAATGGGGGAAAAAGTCATTTCATACGAAAAAAATATTAATTTTTTTAAATACTAGCGTTAAATCGCTAAATTGAAGATTTACGATTATGTGTTCAAAAATCGGTACGGATATATGCATAAGATTACGGCATTTTTTAGATTATCAATTATCGAAGATTTTACTATACATATATATTTTAAAATATTGCAAAACATGAACTTAAAAATAAATGCTTGACATTAAACAGAAAAAAAAAAATAAAATAAAAAAATAAGGAAACGCTGTTTGTCAAAATTTCAATTCCACAAATAACTAATTGTATAATGAGGACTTCATTGCGCTTGGCATTAACAAAGAGGAATTCTTTAAAAAATTTATTATCAGTGTTAATAAAGCAGTCTTTGAAAACAAGGAAACTATTTCAAATACAATTATTTTGTACTTAATATTTAAAAATAAAACAAAATGAAACTTTAGACGTATGCAAAATTAATATAGATCACACAAGGGGTGATCAAAGACATCGTTTATTGAGGTAAAAAAGGGAAAGTAAAAACCAATGTACTCAAAATTTTATAAGAAATATAGAATGAGAAAATTCTTTATAGAATTTTAATTGCGACGGTTAAAATTTCTTACTTTGTTATTTATTTATGTGTGAAATATGTTAAAACACAAATAGCAGAATGTAAATTTCATAAACTACTCGTTAAAATAACCATTTTTTTTATACCCAATTTTCATTTCAAATTGTAATTTTTCATTTATCAGGCTAATAAAATAACCAAATTTAGATAATGGTTGTATGTCAACAACAAACAACCTAGAATGCCAACGCCACAAATGGCCAAAAGACAGTATGAACAGTCCATTTTTTATTGCGTATTGTCAAGGATTTGTATAGTCTCACTATACAAATCCTTGGTTGTGTGTATACTTTTCGTTTCTCATAGCAAGTTAAGATTCGTCAAGTGAGAAAATTTCGGTAGATACTTTGTGTTTGTCAAGAATAAAACAAAGTATATATTGACGTTTCTGAAATACGAATTATAAAATTCATGTCAATTTCATAGCCTAAGAATTGCCGGTAAACGGACAGAAGAATTGCCAAACTGATCCTTTTTGCGTCATGTCAAATATTTTCCTCGTAAACCTAATAGATTCACAAAGTAAGAAAAATTTGATAGATACTTTGTTTTTGTCCAGAATAAATGTTGATAAAAAAGTGTATATTGATATTTCTGAGCTACTGATTATTTAATTACTATATATAAATTCAAAAACATAAGCTAAGACATAAACCGGATATAAAGTCGGTTCCGATTCGGTTCCGGTGATTCCACCTAGTCGTACATAACGTAAATCGCAGTTTTCGTGAATTTTAAAATATTTTGTTTACATTTTTCTTCCGAAATTACATTATTTCCTTGCAAAAAATCCAATTGCAGGTCCTTTGTGCTCTTATTACACTCCTTTGTGCTACATTGTGCTCCTTTGTGCACAAAGGAGGTCCTTTGCGGTGTTTTTAGAGACCCCTTAAAATGTCGTAGCCAGTAGAGGTACATAAGGACTTACTTTAGTGGCAAAGGTTTCTGTTATAATGGTATTTATATGAAGCGTCTTGAAGATTGGTCTTCTCCAGATGAGATTTTTTTTCAAGTGATGTTTGTTTAGAAGGATTTGGAGCTGTTACTTCAAATCTGTATTTTCATGCAGTAATTCCTCCTGATATTACAAAAGATCAATAGCATATTAATTGTTGGAATTTTTTGCTTTTGTAGTTTTAGTAAATATTTGAGGTAAAACAAATCACGCGAAAGAAAAACTGTTTTTTATGCTAATGGGACATCTGTTCGTGTTATAATTCAGGTTCATCTAATGATACCTATATGCCGACTTGTATGAGGGAGATTTGTTTTCAGTTTGAAATTCGAGCCAGACACATTTAAGGTGAAGAAAATCCACTTGCTGACTATTTGAATAATCCATTGAAGTAGATAGATATGAAGAGGTGCCAGATCTCAAATATTTAAATATTTTTTTGAATAATTGGTTATTTATTCTACAGAGTTAGAAGTTCTGCGGTTTCAATGTAAAGATTCTGCTTAACATGCTTTTGTGAACTCAGTTAGAGCCATATTTTATGTTTTGTATATATTTTGAATTTGCCAAGAGTTATATAAGTTCAGTCAATTATTTGCATTTACTTTTAGATTCAGAATATCCACAATTTGAAGCTTTTCATTTAAGATTAGTACGAAGAGGTTTATGCAGAATTAAGGCACATTGTCTAAATCAGGCCTTGCCGATTACTCCTCAGAGTTTGCTTCAGTGAGACACAACCCAGACCGTCTGAACTTACCTCAGCGACCCACGTAGCGTGACATTACCAGAAAAAACATATACGTTTGAATACATTATAAACAATTACTTGTGTTCTAATTATTGAACGATCGTTTGTATATTTGACAGAGAAAACTTTCTCAACAGTTGTGACAATAACGACTTTATCTTCATTAATTCAAGATCATTTTATAAACAATTTTGGTAAATAAAAAAATAAAATTTGGAAATATTCCATTGCTTGAGAAAATCACGTTCTCCCTGAAATGAGTAAACACTACGCCGTTTTTAGATTTACAGCTGAAATTTTCACGTTTTGTTAATACTTACGACTCACTTCACACAAGACTCCTTCGTATCCATTTTCACATAAACATGTGTCAGGTTCAGAACAAGTTCCATTGTTCTTACATTCAGGATCACAGATAGCTACAATTAGATAGACATGATCTTACAGAAACTTTCAAAATGAAAACAGCATTAAATGCGCTTATCCTTAGATATTTTGAATACTTTTTAGAAATTCATGGGAAGGCTTACGTCTCTTGTATTTACCACTTAATTTCTTTTCTTTTTCTTCTGCTATTTGTCTGAACGTAAATGGAAAGTCAGAGCATGGACCAGTATGGGAAAATAAAAAAATATAGATAAATGGATAAAATAAGAGGAGCACAATGCCATTAGGATAAAAAGTTCTGTGAAAATTTCAACGCCATCGGATACAAACGAGTTAATTTATTATCCAGCTATTTTTAAAAGGTTAAAATTAATCAACTTAAAATAACAGTAAAAGTAAGAAAACAAATATATATAGATCGATATTAAATTTAATATGCAAACGAATTCGTGAGATAAGCATAATTTATAAACTTAATCTATTAAGTGACTAAAAACTATCTTGAAAATACATACTCAGGGCGGAAAAAATATAAATTTTTTATCGATCAATCTAAGTGACAGGGATTTCTGAATTTTGTTCACAAATAAGATCTCAGACATAGAAACATCGTTAGCTGTGCAATTGGGAGTTGAATAATGAACAAATAGGAGACGAATCGGAGAAAAAAAAGTAATAACATAGATTTTAATTTATTATGGGTAAATTTTCAGCTTTGAACTATTGTTTTTCCTTCAGCAGATTTTTCCAAATATTCAAGGATGGAAATGAATATTTCTAATCATAACTAATTGTTTAATTTTCGAACAAACATGTATAATACACTTACGAATCATACAAAAATCTCCTTCATAACCTTTGGGACATCTGCATTTGTTCGTTTGGTAACATGTTCCGTTGTTCTGACATCCTGGACTGCATGTCACTTAAACATTTAAAAAAACATGCTTTAAACTTATTACAATGAGATAACAAACAACTTATGAACTCTCATATATTTGATACGTATCTGTATCTGTATTGGTACGTGTAGAACCCTATTTAGGCTTTTATACACGGTGGAGAGGAGCGCCGTTGTTATGGGCGGTGTTCCTTTAAAGCGGTCTTGGATGACTCTACAGAATCTGCATGCACAACTTTATCTGGCAGTTTGTTCCAGTGTATGGTTGTTTCCACGAGAAATGAATGTTTATATTTTGGCTTATTGCTGTCTGGTACTTTAAGCCCTCTAGTGTTATTTATTATTTGGCGTTCGATTATGTTGTCTGTTTCACAATTTGAATATATTTTGGCTTTGATTGATTTTTCTGTCTTGCGGGTGTGACAAAATTGTCGGCTGGTAGAGCCGGCATCAGACCCCAACCACCTTGTAAATCAGGATCAGACGGAGGCTGTGTCTTCTTTCCTCTAGCGTCTCAATTTCAAGCTGGCGTCTCATGTTGGTGAAGAACCCTGTTTCTCGACTCCTGTAGTTTTTCTTTATGAACCGTAATCCTCTGTTTTGGATACATTCCAATTTGTCTATTTCCCCTTTCATATATGGGTTTCAGATGGTTGCACCATATTCCATTGTAGATCTTACTAGGGATATGTATGCTGCTTTTTCTACATGCTTCTGGTACGTTTCTCAAGATCCTCCTAAGAATGCCCATGGTGGCGTTGGCTTTCTTGCTGATGTTGTTTATGTGGAAACTCCATTTCAGGTCATTTGATATTTGGAGTCCTAAGTATGGGTTCACTTGTACCTCTTGTGTTGGTCTTGGTCATTTTTAATTGTTTTGTACAATAGGCAATCGTCTGCAAAAAGTCTTACTGATGATGTTACGCTGTCTGACAGGTCGTTTATGTGGCACAGAAACAGGATTGGTCCTAAGACTGTACCCTGAGGTACCCCAGAGTCAACTGTTTTTTCGCCGGATATTTCCCTTTCCACGATGGTGCGCATTGATCTGGCAGTTAGGAAGTGTGATATCCGTTTGTGTGTATTTCCTTTGATTCCATATTGATCTAGTTTGTGGAGTAATTTGTTGTGTGGATCTGTATCAAAAGCTTTGGAGAAGTCTAATATTGCAATGTATCTCGCTGTATAATTTGAATTTATCAGATAAAGATTTTTTCAGAGAGGTGACAGCGACTTACATTGTAGATTTTATATGTTATCTGGCTAAAACTTTGGATATTTAAATCTTATTTTTAATTTAATATCAAAGTTATCAATATTTCGACCAGGAAATTGACCAGGGAATAATTATATTAAACGTGCTTTCAATTACCACAACCGTTCACAACACAGTTGTACATTTTGTTTATTGTTGTGTATGTGCACGTGTTTAAATGATGCAACATACACAACAATAGTATCTCATTTTTTTTTTATTTTGACTTACCCTGCGTTTCACAAAGTAATCCTGCATATCCTCCTGGACATTGACATAGTCCTCGAGCAATACAAGTACCGCCATTTTTGCAGCCTGGTGGACAAAAGTCTAAAGAAAGCATGATTATAACATTAAGATTTCTCTGATTTGGGATACATCTATCTCTTCTTTTCCAACGCAGACAAATTGGGCATTTTTGCATACAATTAATAAAATGCATCAACAAAATTTGAATAAATGGAAACTATGTAAAGCAAAATTTTGTCTTGCTGATCATTTTTGCAAGACAGAGTTTTTGTTGATCTATTATTGTTTTCAAGATAATAGAAAGTAATACCGAACTCCAAGGAAAATTCAAAACAGAAAGTCCTTTATCAAATGGCAAAATCAAAAGCTCAAACACATCAAATGAATGAAAAACAGCTGTCATATTCCTGACTTGACCTGATTTCAATTATTTGACTTAATTGTAGTCCTTTTATCTGATCAATTTTGATATTCAAAAGATAGTTTCAGAATATATTGTAAAACACTAGAATAAGTATAAAATAATTATCCAAGGGAACATGTAATAAATCGTCTGAAAGTCAGCTGACCATTTCGGCCATGTGAACTTATTTGTAGATGTCATATTGCTGATCAATTTTGCTGCAAGCAGTTTCTCTCTATCCTATATTTTCCACTAAAAACATGTTTAAAAATGTCATTGAAAGGCAATAAAATCCTTTAGATGGCACGGTAGTATTTACATTCCGGAATTTAAGTTTATCTTTTATGTACACTACTTAAGTCAATGTATCTGAACAGTGTGATTGGACAAAAAAATACAGCATCTACTGAACATATTTTCCCAAGCTGAGGGACGAATCAGGTGTAGAAAAATATGAAATAATTTTACATACAGGTGAAGATGAATTTTTTAGATTTAAAAAAAATTTTTGTATTCACTGCATGATAAAAGACCTAAAAGCACTATTGGCCTAAGGTTTAAAAAGATAGCAAAAAAAGTAAACAGTCATCATACATATTCAAATTAATTTTTGAATATTATAATGAAAGTACTTCAGTTAACTGTGTATGTAGAATTTTGGGTAGCGTTAGAAAGTGGTGAAAATTCTAAAAAAAGGCTTTCATTATCTCTATGAGTAAGGAAATACTAGGTGCAACTTTAAGGAGTTGACTAACGATTTCGGCCATTTTGAATTTGTAGAAGATCTTGTCATGCTGATCATTTAGAAGTCCAACGTTTCTCCCTATCTATTATAAGTTTCTAGATTAATGCTTTAAACGGGGATTAACGTGTAAAAATCGTCTTTCAATAGTAATAACTCCTATAACTAGTAGACTGACTATTTCAGTCATACTGATCGTTTTTGCAATTAAAAGTCTCTCTCTAATTATTACAGTTTCAAATATATAGCGAAAAAGCCAATAAGGTAAAAAAAACATCCTTGAAGGACAATTACTCCAACGATTGCCAATGAGACAACTTTCCATCAGAGAGCAAATAAGGCAAATAATAGCAACTATAAGTCACCGTACGGCTAGATGCGGAATCGTAGCTCATAGGTCCTTATGATATTTTTTGGCAACTTGTGGTCCACAAATTGTCGAAAAATATCATAAGAACCTTGAGCCTCGGTTCTGCAGTAACCTACGGTATGCATGCGTTGCTTGAAACACTTGTCGACGCAATGGGTCTTGTTCCTTTTGATGCTCATGGGATTTTGTTTGTTACACTGATTTGTCTCTTCCTATTCGATGTAAGAGATTTTAACATTGGTAAACTACTTTTGCCTTAATATACAACAATGAGAAATACCCATACGACATAGCAAGCTATAAAAGCATCGACATGAAATTATAAAACAATTCAGTCAAACTGCTTGTGATATACATAATGCGGCGGGGATAGCCAGAAATTAGTAGTACTTTTGCTAATTAATATTCATAATATGTAAATTAGAATTGTACCACGTGATAATAGTTTGAACTGGACTGGCTTGATATCCTTAAAATCTTTAAAACACGGATATTATAAGTTGCCCGTCACAGAGTCCTTGTTTATAATCACTCTGATATTTCCGTAAAGTTGTCAGGCAGTCAAAATCAAAACAATGAACGCGAATTTAGTGAAATTTTCGTGTTTTCGTGAGTTTATTCTTCTTGAAATAGGGGCATTTTAACTTAACGTGAGTTCAACGACTACACATACAAGGTTTGGACTTGCTTATTCTTTGGACATTCAAGTTTCAAGTTTCATCCCCGCAACCTGTTTTTGTAATGACCTTGTTAGCCAATTTTCAACACGAAGTTTGCAAATTTGACGTTTCAGCCATTTTAGCCTGTATTTTATACTGCAATGTTAAAAGCCTCTCGCTTCGATTTTTAAAATAGCTCAGGAACCTTGATTTTTGCAACGACAGTCATTATGTTTCGTTTAAATGGTGTATATTATTGTGTATATTTATTTCCTGTCCCCGCAACCTGTCTATCACTTAAATTAAAGTTAAAACAGACATTTTTTTTTCAAAATTTCCTATCATTTCAAAATAATTTCCGTGACCCGTATCCGATTTCTTTAATATAATATGCAAATAAGCAAAGTGGCGTTGATTTATGGATATGGCCCGGTTAAGATGTACGAAGGCGCCCAACCCTCCCCTAACCTAGAACAGTGGTGTTACATTACACCACAAGAACACATTACAAAAATCAGTTGAAAAAGGCTTGGCTCATTAAAATTACAACAAAGCAAATAAAAAAAAAAGACCCAAAAAACAAAACAACGTAATACACAAAGTACCGATCTGAGAGTACTTGCAGTTACGGAAACTAATTTAAAGTCGATTACAACTAATAAAAAAATCACATATCCAAGACTAAATATATCAACCAGTACACATCTAATGGATTAAGTGTTTAGACGTCATAAACAGCCGGAAAATACTTGATCTCTTGCAATTGAAAGTTTCACTAAAGCTGTCACAAAATTCGTCAGTATTAGCTTTATAGGATCAATCGCTCTTTGACGATTCAACGATTTTTACCCATAATTTGCGTTTTTTTTCCTTTGTGAGAATTATTGAAGATAGAGAAAAAATATAAAAGTAAAGCTTGAAAGTTTCTCTATATCTGTAACAATTTTTAACACATGACCAAAAACGACCCAAAATATGTTTAAAGGCAATAACTCGCATAAGGATTTGTCTTACTATTTTGGTAATATAGACGTTATAGAAGATCGGATTTTCTGATCACTTTTACAGTTAAACTTTGTTCTGTCAACTTTCAATTACATTTAATAGGTGTTGTCAAAAGTACAGAAAAATTAATTTAAGGCTATGAAATACCTGTTATAGTTTTTAGAAGTTTTGGCATAGTTGTATCCAATTCGTCGTAAATTGTATCAAAGTAATATTCAGGTTTGGAGACCAAAGAATTGAGTTGATTTACATCAATGCTGGAACCGATTCCTATCCCAATTATCGTTACGTTTTTGCTGTTACATTTTAACAGTCCAGGTTTGTTTGCTTCAGATGACCATCCATCAGTTATCAAAACCAAAATATTTTGGACATAAGGTCGATCTCCTGTCGTGCGTTGAAACATATCTTCACAAGTGTAGCCAAGAGCACCATCAATATCTGTTCCGCCACTTCCAAAATATGTTTTCAATATAGCGTCTGTTATATGTTCTTTTGATAAATGATCATCAAGGTTAAAGCTTTTTCTAGCAGAGTCACTAAATAAAGCCAATCCAATACGTAGTAAGTCGTATCTAACAGGAAGTATATTAACAGCATTGGCAAGATACTCCATGGTTACACGGAAATCATCATTTCCAACACTACCTGATTCGTCTACCACAAATATAACATCCGATGCTGAAAAATTAACAGTTTATATCGCGGCAATTGCTGTAGAGATATGAACATTCTATGGCAACTTCAAATCAACAGGAATGATTCTAATGTGTTATTTTACCTCGAACTATTGTTTCGCTTCAGTTAGTATTTTAACAAAAGTCATAATTTGTGGAAGTTCCCCCCTTGCAAGGTCCTCATGCCTGTCAGACAGTTTTCATTTGACCTCGACCTCATTTCATGGATCAGTGAACAAGGTTAAGTTTTCGTGGTCAAGTCCATATCTCAGATACTGTAAGCAATAGGTCAATTATATTTAAAGCATGATATGATTGTAAGGTGTACATGTCTGTATGGCAGGGTTCATCTGACCTTGACCTCATTTTCATGGTTCATTGATCAATGTTAAGTTATACTGGTTAAGTTTGTTTTTTAGATAGTTTGTGCAATAGGTCAACTATTTTCAAAGCATAGAATGATCCTAAGGTGTACATGTCTGTTTGGCAGGGATCATCTGACCTTGACCTCATTTTCATGGTTCTTTGCTCAATATAAAGTTTTCATGGTTTGATCTGTTTCTTGTATACTATCAGCAAATGGTCAACTATATTTGGTGTATGGAATGATTTTAAGGTGAACATGTATTTCTGGCTTGGTTTATCTGACCTTGACCTCATTTTCTCTGATCATGTTAAGTTTATGTGATACTTGTAGTAAAACTTTATATTTCGGACTATCAACATAAAATCAATGGCCAGTAAAGCAGGCAAGACATTTCAGCGTGTGCACTCTTGTAAGAATTTAACATTGCAAATTATTATAGCTTCGAATATGAAGTACTAGCTGTCGAAACATTAAATAAACAGAAGATATATTTATAAATAAGAACAACTTTAAATTTTCGTTATTTCAATAAGGACTTGAACAAAAATCAATTAGTGCCAAGTTGAAAATAAAATTATTTCGTTTATCGACATACCGTTTCTTGCGTGTTTATGGAAATTTTGCTTCGAGCTGTAGGCCGCTCGTTTACGTGGCCTCTCCAAAAGAATGATTTTTATGATGTAGCTTTAATGCTCACTAAATGAGAATGCTAGATGATTTTTTTTAAAAGTGAAATATTAAATTTCTGAAATTTTTGAATAATGAAACCACACATTTATACCAAATCTCTTTCAGCTGAGCTTAAACGGAAATTATATAAACTGATCTATTCCTTATAAATGTATGCTATTCAACGATATCATTAAACGGAAACTGCAATGTTTATAACTTTGCTAACATACTTACGATTAACGTCACAGAAATCACCTACATAACCTGGTCGACAAGCACATTTATTTGGTCCAAAACATTCCCCGCCATGTTGACAAGGTGGAAAACACGCATCTGTAAAATAAAAATCTTTTAATCAAACACCTTCTTTTTCAAACATAAATTTATATTTCATATATATGTAAGACTAAGACAAACGTCAGCGACACTTTTCACAAAAAATCTTACGATTAAAATTGATCATTAGTTATACTGAAATGTGTATGACTTACACGAGTATTTTTACTCTTAAAGATTTTTTGTGAAAAGAGCCTCAAATCGATGTCATAATGAAATAAGATTCCAAATCGACGACCAATTCTATGGCCCGGCAGTTCCGATCCGCATAGACTACTCTACACTAATGGAGTAAAGGAAAATAGTTCCGGAACGGAAACGATCACTGAACGCAGTTTGAGTGATTGATGGAGTAAAGGAAAATAGTTCCAAAACAGAAACGATCACTCCACGGAGTTTGAGTGATTGATGGAGTAAAGAAAAATATTTCTGGAATGGAAACGATCACTGTACGGAGTTCGCTAATTGACGTCTTTTTTGTTGTTCTCAAATCGACGTCCAATATGAAGCTTCTCTAATTGACGCCCTTTTTACGGACTTGCCTCGATAACGTCAAAACGTATTTAATGTTAACAACTGTAATATTCCTGATTTGATACAGGCATTTTCCGAATTCAAATGGTTGGTTGAATCTAAAACTCAAAGATTTGTCAAAAAATATAAGATTTTAAATCTTCAAGAGTCTAAATACTTTTCTACACTTGACTGTACTTCTTTATTCTGTCTATTGTTCGAATCTGTATATTGCCCCTAAATGTTTTTCGGTTATCTTTGTAGTTGGTTTGTTGTCTCATTGTCGTACAATATATATCCACACGTCATTTATTTATATGAACGTGAAAGGAATAAAACAACGTAGACAGAGTGGATTAACTTCTTTCACCAAAATATCAATATGCATGTATAACTCATATGATTTCGGTGTTTGTCTTTTTGTAGGGGCCTCGGGGCCGAGTGGTCTAAGTAGTCCAACTACTGTATCACTAGCCTGCCAACATTGACGTTGTTAGTTCAAATCCCGCACGTGGCAGGTGCGTTTGTCTCCAATCTTAATTCAGTTTTCCTTCCGATGGTCGGTGGTTGTCTTCGGGCATTCCGGCTTCCTCCACCAATAAAAACGGACGCCACGAAAAAGCCACTAGTGCTGAAAGTCGCGTAAAATACCAATCAATCAATCAATCAATTTGTCATATTGTCATTTAATGATTTTTATCATTTTTTTATTATTGATTATTAAGGACGGGATGTTGCCTACTTCGTTGTTCCTTCTCATATACGTCAACTAAGTGGACGAAAGAGGGACGAAAGATACCAGAGGGACAGTCAAACTCAAAGATCGAAAACAAACTGACAACGCCATGGCCAAAAATAAAAAGACAAACAGACAAATAATAGTACAGATGACACAACATAAAAAACTAAAGACTAAGCAACACGAACCCCACAAAAAACTGGGGGTGATCTCAGGTGCTCCGGAAGGGTAAGCAGATCCTGCTCCACATGTGGCACCCGTCGTGTTGCTTATGTTATTACAAATCCGGTAAATAGTCTAATTCGGTAAGTCACATTCGTGAAAAGGGAAGGGTATTGTAGTTATATATCCGATATCATCTGTGAAACGGTTATTCCATAACGGTCAACCAACTCGTGATGGCGTCCGTAAAATTTACGAAGGGATGATTTCAACTTCACCATTTGGAACTCTTGGTTTAATAGCTTCCTTGTGAGCAGCAATCCTCTATCAAGGAAATCATGATAGGAAACACAAGCCCGGGAATATCGTATCAATTGGGAGATATATACTTCGTATGCAGGCGCTGCTGGAATGTTGCTACATAGAAATGATGAATAATCTCTTGATAAAAACTTTAAAACGACATCTAATGAAGCTGAGTGAAGTAAATAATTGTACATGTAGTTCCCTGCGGAGAAGTGGAGAGTGAAGTGGTACATGTATATTCACTGAAATATTTAATTTCTAATCCGATCTGAATCACACAGTAAACTCAGTTTATTCGCTGACCTAATCACGCATCGATACCAGGATTTTGTGAAAAATCTTCGGTAGACGTATACACTTTTAAGCAAAGCGCAGCTGAACGAAAACTATGTACGTGACTCCTTGACAGAAAGCTCAATGACATGGATAAACAGAAGCATTCAGTGTTCTTAATGTTTGTCTTGTCATAACACAATATTTCTATTCGACTTTTTTCATTGGTACTACTTTTACATTCTACGCACTAATTTTGATAACCTCTTCACAACTTAATTTCTTTCTCCACAATGAATTATGATATTTGTTTAGGTTGATTTCATGTAATATTTAATGTTCTATGCTTAATTTGCTGTAGCACGTGTAGTGACATCGTCATATCGAGGAGCGTTTAGTACAGTAATTTTGTCATAGTTTGGTTTAGTTGGACATGATTGTATTAAGTGTTTTTATTGACAATATTGACATTATAGAAAAATTCTAGATCTGATTTTTTGCTAAAGGAACTTCTGAATATGAATTCAAGCTGGTAAATATCTTTGTTTTAGCTAATATGTTAGTAAATTCGAATTTGTATCATGCATTATACAACTATTGAAATACAGTAAAACAAACTTATTTTCGCGGATACTTTTTTTCGCGTTTAACCTATTCTACCCTATTTCGGCAATATATTGTCGCCATTTTCTAATGTTACTGTTTTGTTCATATACGAAGAGATCCAAGTTTCACATATTTGTGTTGATTTTCTACTCGCGAAAAATAAATCGCTCTAGAAAATAAGTCGTTAATAGTAAATTTAAGATGTTAGCGTTATAAAATAGGCAGTAATAAAGAAATCATGAGGATAAAATATCAATGCGTTTCAATGGTTATTTTTGTTAGAAATTGTTTCATTTGGATTTAAAAAAGGACCTAAGAAATAACATAGTAATATAAAATAAGTAGATACAGTATGATTTCCAATGGGACAACTATCCACCTGAGACCAAATGACGTCAACTTAGTGCGTTGAGGCTTTGGCTAACTCGGCTGTGTATTTTTATGTGTTGGATTAAGTTGTTTTATGTAATGTATCCGTTTTTATTCTGTAGTTAGTCCCCACTTCGGTTTTATCATGTATATCTATTATATAGTCATTTTATAACATTTACTGTTTGTAAATTTATAAATTATTCTAAATAATAAGGATGTTCTTGTCCCAGGCAGAAAACCCTGGCCGTGTTAGGCGCAACTTTTTGGAAGTTTTGGTCCTCGGTGCTCTTCAGCTTTGTACTTGTTTTGGCTTTCAAACTTTTTTCATCTGAGCGTCACTGGGTGGTCTTGTGTGGACGAGACGGACGTCTGGCGTATTGAATTTTAAGCCTAGTACCATTTGTTAGCTATTATTCGTGTGTTTCTTTGTCCTATATGTTCTCCCATTTATTTGTATTGTAGTCATATCATGTAATGTTGTCATTTTAATGTTATATTGCTATCGATTTATGAGTTTCGAACAGCGGTATACTACTGTTGCCTTTATTTAAAGCTCAGTTTGGTATTGAAAATTATTTACTACGTCTTCCAGAGGATAAAAGAATCTGGATTTCGAAACTAAGAACATTTAATCTTAAAATTCCTGTAGAAACTGGCAGATGTTACAACATTGCTAGAACCTATCGTCACGTTATGTACCTTATGTAATGAATGTGTTGGTGATGAATATCATTATTTATATAATATTACTATCACTGAACTTCGTAAGAAATATATACCGAAATATTATACTACATATCAACCTGTACTGAAAATGCAAAAGATGCTGTCTTTATGTCACCATCAGTTATTGCATAATTGATCTATGCTTATCTATCAAGAGAAACTATCTACTATCATCTAGACAGATGTATAGGTGCTAGTGGCCGTCTTAAACTTGCACTGAGGTGAGAGGTTTTTTGCTCCGTGTTGAAGGCCTCACTGTGACTTTGAGATAAAGAACAGCATTAAAATCGCTGTTCCTTTGCTTTTTTGTGTTTTTGTGCTGTGCATGTACAGATTTTGTGTCATGGATGGATACCCCGTATCCTTTGTTTTTCTGTTATATACCTTGTAAGCTTTGTAATCTTTAGATAGTATACTTTTGTTATTGGTTACCTGTTTATTCTATATGTCATTTATTGTGTTTGATTTGTAATTTTTCCTCATGTTACACATAATTTGTGTACGAGTGTAAATATAGATTGGAACTGAATTGTCAATAAAATGTTTTTCTGCTCCCTCCCATGAACAATTTTATGGAATATTCGGTTTTCATTGCTCTTCAACTTAATCATTATTTTTAGACTTCCAAATATTTAGATGCGGGCACCACCGACGAGTAACAAAATAATCCAATTTTGTTTTAGATATTTACTAGAAAAGGATTAGTTTTAATATATGTTTATCCTAAACCATTTTGATTGTATGTGTTTAATTTATTCTAGACTTAGGGCTATCAAGAGGTTGACTTATTGTTGAAGACTGTATGGTGCCGTCTCGATATCGTTTGGTTTGTTTTTATTGGGTTACTGTATCATTAGCTTATAGCCCCAACATCTCCTTTTGTTCACTAAGACATAATTTGGTTCAAAATAAAAACAACAGATGTATAATTGGATAGCACACAATGAAAAACAAATTGACTAGCTGCAACGTTTTGCATCTTTAAATAGAGGTCTTTGACCATTTGACTAATGATGCCATTCATGATATCTGTAAATCCCCGACAGAGTCCATTATTGACATACGGAGAAAAAGTTCTAAGTGGAACAGAAGCAACGCTTTCTGGTTTTGTATTATTTTATACCAAATGCTATTTCAAAAGAGCTGTGGCTATATAAATTCTATCATAGGAAACACAAGCAAAGTAAAAATGTCTAATGTACGGTTTGCCAATTACCATAAAAAAGCTTCTTTTCTTTTCAGTCAATTAGTAAATTGTGTAACTTCTTTTTTTTCACAAGCGCCTTCAAACAAACTAACA